ATTACTATTATTACTATTATTATTATTATTATTATTGTTATTATTATCATTATTATCATTACTATCATTACAGTTATTGCTATTATTATTACTGTTGTTATCATTATTCTCATTATCATGATAGTAATAATGATAATAATAATAATAATAATAATAATAATAATAATAATAATAATATTAATAATAATGATAATAATAATAATTATTATTATTATTATCATCATTATTATTATTATCATCATCATTGTTATAACTATTATTACTATTATTATTATTTTAATTTTGATTATCAAGTTAATCATTATCAACAATATTAGTATTATCATTAATATCACTGTAACTATTATTATTATTATTGTTATTATAATTATTATTATTATTATTATTATTATTATTATTACTAGTAGTAGTAGTAGAAGTATCATTATCATTGTTATAATTATTAGTATTATTGTTATCATATATATATGTGTATGTGTGTGTGTGTGTGTGTGTGTGTGTGTGCGCGTGTGTGTGTGTGTGTGTGTGTGTGTGTGTGTGTGTGTGTGAGTTAAATGAGTATTAATTTGTGTGTGACAAATATAAAATATAAATATAAACTACAGATATTATAATTCTGCAATATTAGCATTAATAATCCCATCTTCATTATTATCATTATTATTATAAAAATAATTGTTGTTTCTACATTTAAAAAAATAATTTCTGAGTCTGAATTGATGTTCTTAATAGTTATGATATTATTAATAGCCACTATTATATCATCAACACCTATACTGTTTTTGACAAGATTTATGACAGACGTTTCTTAAAATATAAATTCCTCACACACATACTCACATACACATCACCTTATACATAAACTACGATATCAAGATTTCTTTTCTCAGTCACATTCCCCATTAAAAAACGCCATTCTAAAATGATTACAATAAGAAGAATACCAGAAATTAACAAAATGTATGAAAAAAAACAGTAAAAAAACAAGACTTTTTTTCCTTCACAGTTCCGAGTACGATGAAAGTCACGTGGGACGAAACCGCACCTTCATGGCAGCTCTGGAAAGACGACAACACGTCACTTTCCTGCCGGGATTATAAGACGAGGTAGGATCCGAACCTGCATTGTGATGGGGCGCTGGCCTTTGTATATATCTACACCATAAACACACACACACACACACACACACACACAGACACACAAGGTAACAGTAATGTAGTGTTATGTTATGCCTGATACAGGGACAATTCCAGGTCAGTGTCCCTAGAAGACCTAGTCTGCACTTTCCTTAATGAACCCGATGCCAGTGGAAGCGGCCAAAGCGGGATGAGCGGGGGGGGGGGGGGGGGCAGGTCACGAGGGAAGACAAGTTCAGTTCATTTGTGAAATGATTTTATTTGAGTTATACTTCATCATTCCTTCAGTTATACATGTACATAGCTTTTCATGGGTACTTTACACTAAACTTTTGTCATCCCTTATTAAATGATAAACACCAATACGATGCTTACTTGTTTATTTGAGTCTTAGCCCTTGCACCAGTCACTAAAGCTTAAACTATATACACTGGTGAGTTCCAGGTAAAATACACACTAACCATGACCGTGGGGGAGGAGGAGGAAGGTAGAGGAGGAAGGTAGAGGAGGAAGGGGGAGGAGGAGGAGGAGGAGGAGGAGGAGGAGGAGGAGGAGGAGGAGGAGGAGGAGGAGGAGGAGGAGGAAGAAGAAGAAGAAGAAGAAGAAGAAGAGGAGGATAGAAAGCAGTGATAGAAAGCAGTGATAGAAAGCAGTGATAGAAAGCAGTGATAGAAAGCAGTGATAGAAAGCAGTGATAGAAAGCAGTGATAGAAAGCAGCGGGTTCCGAGCGGTTAGGAGGCGAGACCAGATCCGCCGGCACTCTCAAAGCACCCGCGGGTATCTGCGCCCTCTCGCCAGGGTATTTGCTACTGTCTCGTCAGCATAGATGCTGAATGGTTGCATTCTCACGGTTTATGACGTCGCTAATGACGACATGGCAGATTGCTAGCATGGCATCATTATCAGACGCCATCTGGTGCTAACACTGGTCTATTAATTACAATTCATTATATGTGACGTTATCCATCTCACACAAGTTACTGGGCATGCGGGAGGTAATAAAGGCCTTTTTGCACGCACGCTCACGCACAATACCTACGGGCGGCACCCCGCATTTCCACCACGAGGGAGAAGCATAATTCATTGGCTTCATTAAACCGGACTCTTGCTATGGATTCGTCATATCAAAAGGGGGGGGGGGGAGGGGGGCACCGTAGTAGGACAAGGAATGGGCGAAAATGCCTACTATCTCTCTCTCTCTCTCTCTCTCTCTCTCTCTCTCTCTCTCTCTCTTCTCTCTCTCTGTCTGTCTCTCTACTCTCTCTCTCTCTCTCTCTCTCTCTCTCTCTCTCTATCTCTCTCTCTCTCTCTATCTCTCTCTCTCTCTCTCTCTCTCTCTCTCTCTCTCTCTCTCTCTCTCTCTCTCTCTATCTCTCTCTCTCTCTCTATCTATCTATCTATCAATGCATATACAGTCGATCCCTCCACCAATGAAGCTCACCAGTGTTGCCACATCCTCGCAGGTTCGCCAAAGGTCTTCCCCGGACGTACCTTGTGTCCTTCCCCGGATCTGGCAACACCTGGATCCGCTACCTGCTGGAGGCTGCGTCGGGCATCTTCACGGGCTCAGTCTACACCGACACCGAGATTAAGAACGCGGGTGAGTTGGTGGTGGTGACGGATGGTGGTGAGCTTTGGTGATGATGAGTAGGGTTTTTATGTTGCTGGGAAGAGGAGTGGTGAGGGAGGGAGGGAGGGAGGGAGGGAGGGAGGGGTTGGTGAGGGAGGGAGGGAGGGGTTGGTGAGAGAGGGAAGGAGGGAGGGAAGGTGGTGGTGGTGATGGCGGATGGTGGTGAGTTTTGGTGATGATGCGTAGAACTTTATGTTGCTGGGAAGAGGAGTGGTGAGGGAGGGAGGGAGGGTTTTGGTGATGATGCGTATGGCTTTCCGTTTATGGAAGAGGAATGGTGAGGGAGGGAAGCAGGGAGTTAGCGAGGGAGGGAGGGAGGGAGGGATTCGTGAGGCAGGGAGGGAAGGTGGCAGTGGTGATGAGTTTGGTGATGATGTGTCACTACTGAGATTAAGAACGTGGGCGGAGTGGTGGTGATGACAGCGGTGATGGTGATGACTTGGGTGATGAGTAGAACCCACCCACGTTGCTGGATTGGTGATGACTGATGGTGATGAGCTGGATTGGTGATGATTGATGGTGATGAAATGATGGTAATGTGTTGTTTTTTCGCTGCTGAGATGAGAAATGTGGGGAGTTGGTGATGAAGATGGTGGTGGTGATGAGTTGGGTGATGATAACATAAATATGAATGAGTAATTGGCGGTGATAGTGATGATGGTAATGATGATGGTGATGAAGGGGATGATGATGATATTGATGATAATGGTGATGATGATTTTGATGGTGGTGCCAGTGATAGTGATTGTAATGATGATGATGATGATGAATTTAAGGATTGTGATGATGATGCCCGTGACAGTGACGGTGGTAATGATGGTGACGTTGATAGTGATGTTGATTGTGATGGTGATTGTTAGATGAATATATCTTTGGAATGTTTGGCAATGATGATGGTGATGCTCAGGATGAAGAAAAAAAACATTTTTTTTCCCTCTCTTTCTTTTATCTAATTTACTTTTCCTGTTTCTTTGTCTTTTTAAAAATGTTTTTATCCTACTTTTCAATTTTTTTTTCCCAAACGAATTTTCCAATTTTCTTTTAATTTCATCACTGATTATCATAACTGTTTTTGGTATCATTATCACCATTATTCTCATTATCATATTTATCCTTCACTTTCGTCTTATTCGCATTTTTCTTTCTTTTTCTCTTCACCTCCTTTCCAAATTTCGCCATTTTTTGTTTTTTTCCCCTTCCCTTTATCTTCGCCCGTGTCAGTCATTATCATTTTTTCCCAATTTTTTCCTTTCATCTTTGTCTTTTTTCTCTTACTTTATCATCTCACATCCTCCTTCCTCCTTCTCGTTATTGACCTCTTTCCCTCTCACTTCCTTCTCTTCTCCCTTCTTCCTCCCTACTTACCTTCCTTTTGTTCCTTCCTCCCTCTCTCCCTCCCTCCTCCTTTACTCTTATTCACTTCTCCCTCCTTCCTCCCTCTCTCCCTCCCTCCTCCTTTATTCTTATTCACTTCTCCCTCCTTCCTCCCTCTCTCCCTCCCTCCTCCTTTACTCTTATTCACTTCTCCCTCCTTCCTCCCTCTCTCCCTCCCTCCTCCTTTACTCTTATTCACTTCTCCCTCCTTCCTCCCTCTCTCCCTCCCTCCTCCTTTACTCTTATTCACTTCTCCCTCCTTCCTCCCTCTCTCCCTCCCTCCTCCTTTACTCTTATTCACTTCTCCCTCCTTCCTCCCTCTCTCCCTCCCTCCTCCTTTACTCTTATTCACTTCTCCCTCCTTCCTCCCTCTCACCTTCCTTACTTCTTCCTTTCGCATTCCTCCCTTCCTCCTTCCTCTTTTTTAACTTTTCCTCCCTTCCTATTTCCTCCTTTACTCTTCCCCCCCTTCGCCCTCCCTCCTCCTTCCTCCCTTTTACATTCCTCCTTTCCTCCTTCCTCTTTTACTCTTCCTCCCTTTTCCCTCCTCCCTCTCATCCCCTCCCTTCTCCCCCCTTCCTTCCTCCCTTCTCCCTCCTCCCTCCCTTTCACATCCCTCCCTCCTCCCTCCCTTCTCCCTCCCTCTTCCTTCCTCCCTTTCACATTCCTCGCTCTCACCTCCTCCCTTCTCCCTCCTCTTTCCTCTCTCCTCCTTCCTCCCTCCCTTTCACATTCCTCCCTCTCACCCCCTCCCTTCTCCCTCCTCTTTCCTCTCTCCTCCTTCCTCCCTCCCTTTCACATTCCTCCCTCTCACCCCCTCCCTTCTCCCTCCTCTTTCCTCTCTCCTCCTTCCTCCCTCCCTTTCACATTCCTCCCTCTCACCCCCTCCCTTCTCCCTCCTCTTTCCTCTCTCCTCCTTCCTCCCTCCCTTTCACATTCCTCCCTCTCACCCCCTCCCTTCTCCCCCCACAGGTTACCTCGGCGAGGGAGATCGAGCCAACAGCGGCCGGACCCTCGTTCAGAAGACCCACGGCGCGGCTCTGACCAAGGCAAGCAACGACCTCGCTTCCCGCTACAACTTCATCAAAGCCGATGTTCCGGTTGTGCTCATCATCCGAGATCCCGCTAGGTGAGTGAGGGTGGGAGGGAGGGAGGGAAGGAGGGAAGGAGGGAGGGAAGGAGGGAGGGTGAGGGAGGGAAGGAGGGTGAGGGAGGGAAGGAAGGTGAGGGAGGGTGAGGGAGGGATTGGTGAGGGAAGGAGGGAAGGAGGGAAGGAGGGAGGGTGAGGGAGGGAAGGAGGGAGGGAAGGAGGGAGGGAGGGAGGGTGGGAAGGAGGGAAGGAGGGAGGGAGGGAAGGAGGGTGAGGGAGGGAAAGAGGGATTGGTGAGGGAAGGAGGGAAGGAGGGAAGGAAGGTGAGGGAGGGTGAGGGAGGGATTGGTGAGGGAGGGATTGGTGAGGGAAGGAGGGAAGGAGGGAAGGAAGGTGAGGGAGGGTGAGGGAGGGATTGGTGAGGGAGGGATTGGTGAGGGAGGGAGGGTGAGGGAGGGATTGGTGAGGGAGGGAAGGAAGGAGGGAAGGAGGGTGAGGGAGGGATTAGTGAGGGAGGGAAAGAGGGAGGGAGGGTGAGGGAGGGAAAGAGGGAGGGTGAGGGAGGGAAGGAGGGATTGGTGAGGGAGGGAGGATGAGGGAGGGAAAGAGGGAGGGAGGGTGAGGGAGGGAAAGAGGGAGGGTGAGGGAGGGAAGGAGGGATTGGTGAGGGAGGGAGGATGAGGGAGGGAAAGAGGGAGGGAGGGTGAGGGAGGGAAAGAGGGAGGGAGGGTGAGGGAGGGAAAGAGGGAGGATGAGGGAGGGAAGGAGGGAGGGTGAAGGAGAGAGGGGGAGGGAGGGAAGGAGGGAGGGTGAAGGAGAGAGGGGGAGGGAGGGAAGGAGGGATTGGTGAGAAAGGAAAATAAAAGATAAATTCCAGAAATCATCCTACATAAATAAAGAGAAAAAAATCGATTCTGAAAGTATTCTCAATGACCATAAAAAATTACATAGCAAAGATAAAAGAAAAAAGAATTAGTCGTAAAAAAATGACACAGAAAAGAAAGAAAGAAAAAGGTTAAATAATAACAGTAGTAATAACAATGATAATAATAATAATAATAATAATAATGATAATGATAATAATAATAATAATAATAATAATAATAATAATAATAATAACACATACACACACATATATATGTACATGTATATGTATATACATATATATGTATATACATATGTACATATATATATATATATATATATATATATATATATATATATATATATATATATATATATATATATATATATATATATATATATACGCCATAAAAACGAAAAATCCTTTGTGTTCGCAGGGCGCTCCTGTCCTACTGGAAGTTCCTGCACGGGCGAGGCAAGGGAAGCCACACAAACCAAGTGTCCGAGAAAACCTACAGAACGTCAGGTGAGAATTCTGCTTTCGGTTAATAGGATGGATGGATGGATAGGCGGGCGGGTGACTAGAGGGAGGGAGAAATGAAGGAATGGTGGATAAATAGATAGACACATAGCTACTAAACAGTTAGGGAGACAGAGGAACACACACAAACAAACACACACACGCACGCACGCACGCACACACACACACACACACACACACACACACACACACACACACACACACACACACACACACACACACACATATATATACATATATATATATATATATATATATATATATATATATATATATATATATATATATATATATATATATATGAAAGATGGAATAATGCAATGCCGCACTGATACAGATACAGGACTTGAACCTAGGTCACTCCAGGTATGAGACCGGAAGGCCCCTAGTAAACCACATGACCCACTAAATGGAGTGTGCAAGTAGGATCAGTCTAGCTCCATAGACATTACCTATCTACTCATATTGATTAATGATAGCGAGGTTTTACACACACTCCCCGTGGGCACTCGGTGGAAATTGATTTAGAAATTCGAAACCGAAGCCAGATGTACTGAGATTTATTTATGAAAGATGGAATAATGCTATGCCGCATTGATATAGATATATAACAACCCTCCCTGACCGGGCCTCGAACCTAGGTCATTCCGGATATGAAACCGGAGGGCCATCTTTCTCTCTCTCTCTCTCTTCTCTCTTCGTCTCTCTCTATCTCTCTTCTCTCATTATCTCTCTCTCTCTTTTCATCTCTCTCTATCTTCCTCTCCCTTTCTCTCATCATCTCTGTCTTTCTCTCATTATCTCTCTATCTCTCTCTCATCTCTCTCTCTCTCTCTGTCTATCTGTAATCTCTCTGTCCCTTCT